AGCGTCCGGTCGGCAGAAATCTCGGGAAAGGCAAATCCGTCGGAGCTCGAAAATTTCAAATCGAATTCGAAAGGCGCGTGTGAAATATGGTTGTAGCGCGGGCCCTCTTATCTCCTTTGCCGACCAGAGAGCAGATAATGAGCTGCCACTCGACGAACGCCTTTCTTAACCACTTTACTTCACATTACGCAACTATACTGGGTTGTCCTTGTGTTTTATTCATCGATGAAAAATGCGAAGAGCCTATTGGTTAAATAACCAGACATGATGCCCGTGTTAGTATTTACGAATATCTTAGTGCTATTTGCGCTACATCACTTCTGCTTCGGTTGTTGTCACAAGCCACCCAATCAGATGTATGAGTTCCTCAGACGCATTTACACACTGAAAAACAAACCATGTCATTTTGATTGCAAGCCGCAGCATGAAAGCAGTGATGCGCTCTAAGGATTCGACGGTATATTGCAGACCAAACAGGCGCACTCCGCTAGTAGTAAGAATTGTAAACAGATTATGATCTACCAGATCCCAAAGCAGCCATCTAAGTAACGTTAGAAGTTGGCCGAAAAGGGACGTAGGAGACACACATAACATCCGATTCGGGCTATTCATTGCCCTATTCAGCCACATCTACCTCCGCTCAACATCTGAGGTAGGCATCTAAATGGGATGCATATGCGCACGGCGTAGGCGGTCTACAAATTTTACGGCGCTGTCGACGCGTCTGTTCTTAGTTATTGGCAACCATTTTATGCATTTTTAAACACACCTTTTACGAAACTATTTAGTAGGGAAGAGTAGAAGAACTCGAAGTTGGAACTCCATCTAATCCACAGTAATTAAAAATCCTTTTTCGCGGAACAGACAAGGCGAGACAAAGAATCGCCGGACAAAAAAGCGTATTACTGGTTCTGGTCGAACCATCCACTGTTCGATTTCACGCCAGAATACCCTAAGTCTGAGTCATGAGCGAAAGACCAAGAGTAGCAATGTTTCGAGACATTACAAAGATTGAGCACACAGGTAGGCCACCTTATAGCGAATAATGCTACTCTTGGCCTTTCAGTGGCCATGTTTTCGACTTAAACACTGGCTGTGCTGCTTTGCTTTCATTTCCTTTCATTTTGGTATTACGTTGCCCAGCCCTTTTCGGCGCCATGCTCCACTTGGTACTCGGTTGCTATATTCAGCGGACTGCAGTTCACACACAGTCGGATTTTTCGGCCTTCCAAATTCGCTCTATGTCTGCAATAACCTTTGCCGCTTGCGGTCCACGTACGGTTGGTCTTACCGGCTTTTTACTTATCCTTGGTTTTAAATTAGTTCTTGCGGTGAGCGGTCCATGAACGCTTGCCTTTTACCGATCGAACTCGTCGGCTCGGTAGTGTGGTTTTCAATTCCCTGGGGCATACATCAGTTGTTCGCATCAATTTCATAGTTGAAGTACTGCAAAAATATGGGGGCTTTTATAGAACTTACAGGTGAGTAAAATACATCATAGTTGCGGTATGTAGGCAGATAAAATCGTCAAAAGAGCACACCTTGACTTTCCCTAAAACCGTAATTTATATTTCCGTAAGGTTTGGTTGCTCTGGTCACACAAAAAAGCTCGGGTCGGATCTAAAGTTCATTTCATCTAAAGCGTTTTGCGTCTGTTTCTATCTTTTATATATTTTATATTTATTTACAATTATTGTAGTGGTCTTCATTACAGCTCGGCTGCGTCTCTACAGTAAACGACACAGGCAATAAGTACCGTACCCCGCCCCTACAGCTCTTGAGATATGAGTTAACCTGCTTGCAATAAACCTACACCATTCAACGTAGAATATTACTCAGAAGTCGCATACTGCCATAGCGACCCTGGCTTAATTTGGCCATTCAATTTCTCCTCACATACCCTTACTTGAGTTTAAGTCTATGGTTTGGTCTGGCCTCTTCCTAGGAAACATGCCGCTGGCATTTAGGTAAACCGCACATTTCTGGGCTCATGTCAACTCACTTATCCTACACAGAACTAGGGGCTTACTTTGAGACTAGAGAAGGTTTAATATTGAAGGCTACTGTAGTAAATTTTCAGTGAGTCATTGATTTTGATCCTATCACAGCAAAACTCTCAAAATGCCAACAGTTAACCAAAAGTGACTGATGAACGAAATTTTTCATAGATTTAGGTGGAATAGTCATGCTATAAGTGGGTAGGAAGAAGAAAACGGTGTTATTCTGATGAAAATATTAAGGACCATGAAGAAAATAATTTAAAACGAGGGAGAGTACGAGTCAAGTGAGGCAGAATAGGACAGGGACGACGAAGATGATTAATAAGTAAGAAAAGAAAATTCCGAGGAGAGTAAGTAAAGGAGGAGGGGGTGACTATAAAGGCTACTTAAAAGATTATGTATAAGAGTCGCTCTCAGAAGCCACAGGTCGGAGTCTTCCATTCCTTTGAACACGAATCCATTGTGGTCATGGACCGAACGGATGACCGTTCTCTCGCAGAGACATTGGAAGGCTGACACAGAACCCAATTGTTTTTATCTGTTTGAAGCCGTCTCCATCACCATCGACATACCAAATCTACTGGCGTACAACGATGGTCCGAAGTGTGGTAGCAAAACGAAAAAATGTAAAAGATAACGCAAGCTCAGAAGTGACCATATGCACCCGTATGAATACGGAAAATGAGTTTATTGAAGGCTAAACCTAGGGAAAATCTCAGACAGCTAACGCGACAGGGCAGCTGCTTTCCACCGTGAGCCAGAAGACGAGCGGCTCTACGGTAGGACAGCAGAAGCCCCATGACGAAGACCTTTAGTGCCTTCCCAAATGGGCCTTGCAGACATGAGCACCATGGCTACCATCATCCTTCGTATTTAATATATGAGATTTCTTAACTTCCTTTACACAATCATGCATTTCTGTTTCAAATGTAGGAGCATGATTTATGGGTTGTTTATTTCACTCCACTCACATCAACAACTGGCAACAAGGAGTTAAATGGGTCTGCTCAGATGAGGAAGAAAACTCGGCTGAGCCCAGTAGTACGTAACTAACCATACTACAGGTGGACTTGTGCTAGATTCTATGGGCTCCCTGTTCTTGTACCTTTACCCTAACCCTTACTTCCCCGAAAATTGGGCGCAAGGCCATCTGTAATACGCGGGATACCTATTTCCGTGTTGCGACAAAAGTTGATGAGACATTCAGATCCGAAGTGTCCGTAATAATATCATTTTCCCACAAAAATGGCATTTTAAAATGCGGCTGAACCGGGGCTATACTATGGCGCTACAATGCTTAACAAAGCAATGCATCACGTGTGCCCCATTAATACGAGATTCATCCGGACGAAAGCGACTGAGTGTGTCCTGTCTGTCCAAGCCACCCCAAGTGTTAATTGATTTTTATTTACATGAGGAGAACAAAAGAAGGTTTTCAGTCTGGCCAAGGAAACAACTGCCTAAATGGTCGACCCAAAGTTAACTTTTTCCGTCTTTATGCGCCGGGTTACTAGGAGAGCGCCTACATTCACGTGGTTAGACGGGTCAGCAGGTCACATTGTGTGCTCCTCCTAACTATATTTCGACAGGGTGTCTACTTATTTCATTTAGGTAACTTTATATAGATTACTTAAAATATTTAAGACCCTCTCCATCAGAGCATCTTTTTGCACCGCCTTGGTATAGGCAGCCACTGTTGTCGCACCCGCTCCGCTTTCCCCCTTACAGCATCTGTTTGTCAGTCGACGGCCGCAATAACCACAATAACCTACAGGCACACCGTCAACGCACGGCCATCATCAGGCTTGATCTGAGGCGCCTCGTGTCCAGCTGCGCTGAGCCACGACTCCGCCCAAAAACAGACGCTTTCTCACGCGCGTCAGCCGGAGTCACCTTTCACCCGTGGGTCCTCGTGATCATGCGCGCCCGACTCAGCCCGTGAGCTAACCAATCGAATTTCTAACACTCACCTAGTCACTTCCTCATGCTGACAGATACATGTGATACTCGTGTAAACAACACGACAGTTCGACCGTCGGTTTCGACGATGTCCACTGGGTGCTCCACAACAAGGTGCAGCTGACAAGGTAACTTGCGCATGAATTAGTTTATAGTGATAGTAGACTGGCGCAGTATCTACCGCGCTCTCTTCTCCCCACTCCCCATCTGGACCCGATGTCAAGACAGTGTCAAGAAGACCGGAGGCGGGGAGGGCACAGGTGGATGGCACGGTCGAGCCCGCACCTTGGCGTTCCACTTCACACCCCCTGGTCCACACAGCAAATGATCAGGTTTTGACCAAAAACAACAACACCCCAACAGGGGTCACAAGGACGATGATGACTGGACGGCCATACCCACCACTTGTATACCCATTGGGAGTGCAAACGCATCTACCGGCAGGGAACTTGGTGTCAGGTGCCAAGCGCATACCAGGCTGCGATGGCTATGGTTTGCTGATACTAGCGTAGCGCACGCTTACAGACCTTTTGACCTCATGTAAACAACATATCTCTACTTACACACTCCCGAACGGACGCCTTGTTCTGACACACAAGCAAACAGCGAACTCATGGCAACCTGTCCTGCGCATAGAATAAATCGGGTGTTGTGGGGTGTTGTATGGAGTGGCGGACTGGTGGGCTGGGGACCGGGTCGAAACAGCGCCTTCCACGGCCCTCTCACGCAACTGAGAGACACGCCGTTCAGCCCCGTTGAGTGAAATACTGGTGTGTGTGTGTGTGTGTGTGTGTGTGTATGTGTGTGTGTGTGTGGAGCCACGTGTGAGAGTTGGGTGTCAGCAAATATACGCTCGTAGGTGAGACTACGCCTAGCGTCCATTTGCTCGCACCTAACCCTCACCTGTGGCTCCACATATCTGGGCACTGCTCACCGGCCACACCCCGGACAACCGCCTCGACCGGTGAGCTAAACGAGGTGAGGACGGTTACTCCCGGTGCGCGTTGTGCCGCGTGCACAGGGTATTGCGGACTCCGCTGGATGGTTGGTCGATGGAATACCGCGTCGGCACCGTCGTTACGAGGCTCAGTCAGGTACGCCGCTGGCCAGACGGTTGTTGGAACTCTCCTCCGGCATCGTGGAGACGAGGCTCCGCCTGATCCGCCGTTGGTCAGCCGGAGAGATGGATCTCCACATCGACATCGCCGAGACGCGCCTACCTACGCCGTCGAACACCGCCGGCTTACGGCGACGTCGTAAGCCATTGGCAAATTCGAGTCGTTCTCCACTACCAACAGAAATCGTGGCCCCATAGTGGAGTTCGGCCGCGCCATAAAGGCACACATGGGTAGCCCTATTCAGGGGGGGACTGCCTGCCTTCGGAGGGACCTAGAAAATCTGGCCTAAAAATTGCTGGGCACCACGTTGTCTGCAGGCTAACCGGGGTCACAGATGTTAAACTCGCGGGCGAAACAACAAAACAATAACAATAACAACAATACTCTCTCTTCTCCTCACCCTGCCTCTTCTTCATCCTCCTCTGCCTATTCTTCGGAATACTTTTTTCCCTTCGTCATCTCCTCCTCACCCTCATTCCCGCAGCCACAGTAGCCGCCGCCGCCAGACTGGAAGGGTGAGTCTACTCACTCTGGCAGCCTGGAATGTTCGTTCCCTTTTAGACAATCCGAGGAGCAACCGACAGGATCAGAGGACAGCGCTAGTGGTTCGGGAACTGGCGCGCTATAAGGTGGACATCGCCACACTCAGCGAGACTCGATTCTGCGAACAAGGCCAATTGGACTATTTCGGTGCCGGCTACACCTTCTTCTGGAGTGGTCGCCCCAGGACAGAGCGACGAGACGCGGGTGTTGCCTTTGCCATTTGGAAAGACATCGTGGGACAATTGCCTTGTCAATGATCGCCTGATGAGCCTCCGTCTGCCTCTCCGCCGGGGTGGGGGCAAATTCACCACCATCATCAGCGCCTATGCCGATGACCAGACCCGACGCCGTCAGAGACAAATTCTACGAGGACCTGCACGCCCTCCTAGCGTCTGTGCCGAAGGCGGACAAGTTGATTGTCCTTGGTGACCTCAACACCCGCGTCGGCACAGACCATACTGCCTGGAGAGGAGTGCTCGGTCCCCACGATCTCCGAGACTCCAACGACAATGGTCGACTGCTTCTCCGCACCTGCGCAGAACACCGCCTCACCCTGACGAACACCTTCTTCTGTCTGCTGGAGCGAGAGAAGGCCACCTAGGGGCATCCTCGGTCGCGTCAGTGACACCTGCTGGACTATGTCCTCGTCCGGAGGCGAGACCAGCGGGACGTGCTGATGACAAAGGCGAATCGGGGTGCCGACGGATGGACCGACCATCGCCTCGTCACCTCGAGGATGCGTATTCGCCTACAGCATCGCAGGAGACCACAAGGTAAGCGACCCCCAGGTAGGCTGAATATTGCTTTGTTGTCTTTGCCCGCTCACCATCCTCATTTTAGCAATGAACTGGCTCAACGGCTAGACCACCTTCAAATCGCTGCCGCTGTCGCCGACGAGAACGCCTGCTTGGAGAACCGATGGTGCCAACTGCGGGACACAGACCAGTCGACGGCGCTGGCCGCCCCGGTCGCGCACGCCGGCAACACTAGGACTGGTTCGACGAAAACCACGCCGCTATCAGCAACCTACTTGCCGAGAGGAACCGTCTGCACAAAGCCTACTTAGACTACCCCACCGAGGACAACAGAGCTACTTTTTGCCGCAGTCGCCGCCTCTTACAACAGTGACTACGGAGATGCAGGACGCTTGGACGGTTCGCAAGGCCGAGGAGATCCAAGGATACGCAGATCGCAACGAATGGAAGGACTTCCTCTCCGCGATCAAAGCTGCCTGCGATCCGCCACCCAAAGGAATTGTTCTTCTTCTTGGCGCCGACGGTAGTACCCTCCAGACTGAGAAGACGCAAATCCTACAGCGATGAGCCGAGCATTTCCGAGGCGTTCTCAACTGCCCCTCCGCCATCTCCGACGCCACCATCGAGCGTTTGCCGCAAGTGGAGACCAATGTGGACCTAGACCTCCCGCCATCTCTCAAGGAAACCATCAGGGCCGTGCAGCAGCTCTCCAGCGGGAAAGCGCCCGGGTCGGATGCGACTCCTACTGAGATCTACAAGCATGGTGGTCTCCAACCGATGGATCACCTGACTGCGCTCTTCCAGGACATGTAGCGTCAAGGTGAAGTCCCACAAGATTTCAAAGACGCCACAATCGTGCATCTATACAAGCGAAGAGGAAACCGCCACCTCTGCGACAATCACCGCGACATCTTTCCGCTGAACATCGCCGGAAACGTCTTCGCCCGCATCCTCCTCAGCCGTCTGAATCACCATCTAGAACGGAGTTTTCTACCGGAAAGCCAGTGTGACTTCCGTCGTCATCGCGGGACCATGGATATGATCTTAGCCGCACGTCAACTACGGGAGAAGTGTCAGGAGATGCGGACCCACCTGTACTCTACCTTCGTGGACCTGACGAAAGCCTTCAACGCGGTGAATCGTGAAGGACTGTGGAAGATCATGCCGAAATTCGGCTGTCCCGAGCGATTCATACAGATGGCGCGTGAGCTGCATGACGGAATGATGGCGTGAGCCATGGACAACGGAGATGTCTCAGGGGCCTCCGCAGTGAGCAACGGAGTGAAGCAGGGATGCGTGCTGGCGCCCACTCTGTTCAGTCTCATGTTCTCTACCATGCTGATGGACACCTACCGTGACGAACATCCCAGGATCCGCATCGCCTAAAGGGCGAACGTTGTAACGGCCAGGATCGAATCCCCGACAATTATGTACTAGACCATCTACACCATGCTGAGACAGTTGCAGCTGCGTTGGAGTGGCCATCCCGTGCGGATGGACGACGCGCGTCAATCCAAACGACTCTTCTACGGAGACGTCGCAATGGGTTCTCGCCGCCAAGGAGGCCAAATACGCCGTTACAAGGATACCCTGAAGTCCTCCCTGAAGCGTCTGCAAATCAATCCGGCCAACTGCGAAGACCTGGCTCGAGACCGACCGACCTGGTCGAGAACAGTGAAGACAGGCGCTGCGATCTATGAAGCCAACCGCATCGCCGCAGCCAAAGCCAAAAGCGAAGCACGCAAATCACAGCTGCGCCACCTCGTAATGCCAACGCGCAGCCGCCCTCGGTATCAACGGACATTCCGGACACGAACTGGACTTGTTGGACACCCTCGGATAAACTGCACCACTCGCACCGCACCAACCGCCGTCCCCTCGTCCACCTCTTCCTCGTCCTCTCCGCCGCCAGCTAACTCTGACCGCTCTCCTGATTCGTCATTTCCATCCTCCTCCGCTTCTACATCGCCTACCGTCTTGGCGCCTGCCACGCACATCAACACTGCACGCAATCCTGACACATCCTCAAACGTCAAAACCACTACCGTCAGCAGGACTACACATGCCCTCACTGCGACTGCACCTTTACCTCACACAACGGTCTGGTCGGTCACTTGCGAATCCATCGCACAGAGGCTGGCGAACCAGTGCCTGGGGCGCTGCAACCGCCTCCATTGTCCACGCAAGTAGGAAGTGTGCGTCTCGACTCAGTCTCCGTGCGGCTCCCGTTGCACGGGTGATTCGGGCCTGAGACTATCCCGACGCGTCAAGCGCCGTTGATAGGAAGGCTGCTGACTGCCGCCCCAACCCGGTTCCCGCAGTCCGTCCAGCTGTGTATGTGTGTGGAGTGGTGGAATGGTGGGCTGGGGGCCGGGCCGAGACAGCTCCCTCCACAGCATTCACTCATTTGAGAGATACGCCGCTCAATCCCCGTTATGCGAAATCCCGGTGCTTGTATTTGCGGGACTAGTTCGTGCATGTTGCGCTCGCAGACAAGGTCACTAGACCATGTCAGCTACCGCGTCCATTCCCCGCAACTGTCAACTGACCGGCTCTGACAGTGGCTGGGGCCTGGGCATGGGAAGGGAGAGTGAGGTCGACGACTCAGCGCATTTTCCTCACTATAAACAATCTGACGCGCTTGAAGCTATCACGGTGCGCTAAAAGCCGTGGCTTGGAAGGTTGCCAACTGACGGGATAACTTGGACCTCGACTGGAGGTCTGAGAGTCAGGCTGCAATGGCTCCTTCTTAATATGACTATTATGGTACTCCCACTGTGTGGGATCCGAGCCGGGCGTTGGCGGCACGCCTAAGTGCGGCTTCGGTCGTGCAAGCCTCCACTCTCTTTGTTGTTGTTGTTGGTCAAAAACCTGGTCCTATGTTGTGTGGATCAGGGGGTGTGGTTGAACGCCAAGGTGAGGATCCGTCCGAGCCATCCACCTGCGGCCTCCCCGCCTCTGGTCTTCTTGACATCGGACTCAGGTGGGGGGGGGGGCGGAGGAGGATGAGGATGAGGATGAGGATGAGGACGAGGAGGAGGAGGAGGAGGAGGAGGAGGAGGAGGAGGAGAACGTATGGTAGATGCAGCGCAAGTCTACCGGCACTATAAACCCCGCGCAAGTCACCGTCACTGTTCCATCCTTCTGTGGAGCACACGGTGAACATCGTCGATGTCGTCGTGTGTGCGTGTGTGTGTATTTAACCGTCACACCCTTCTCCCAATCCAAGACTTACGTCCCGACCTACTTCTGTGATTGGCGACCAGTCGGCCGATGTGAGCCCTGTTACTTCCATTTTTGTCTTGCCCCGCTATTACGACGGAAATCGCAGATTTCAATCGGGTTCCGGTCGGGTGGGGCTATGTAGCCCCACCTGAAGTTAACTAATCCAAGCCACTTGTAATACGGGACCGATTGTAATAGGGGGTTTTCACAGGTGGAGCCGGGGAAAGCACAGGCGACGAAGTCAAGTAGTTGTATGAAAAAAGGGTAAGATGTGGTTATGTAGCCCTACCTAATGGGCACAATACTGTTGGGGTTGGGGTTAGGATTAGGGATTATTATTGGCGGTTAGGCTTAGGGGTTAGTGTTATCGGTTAGGGTTAGGGTTATGGCAACTATTTCTCAACTGCTCAAAGTACAACCGTGCATTCCCGATAGCTTCTCTTTTGCATACATCTACTTGACCTCGTCACCTGTGCGTTCGCCGGTCCCACCCGTAAAAACTTCTATTACCACAGGTCCCGTATTGCAGATGGCTGGGGTTTGTTTACTTCTGCCCAAACTATTAGGGATGCGCTGTTGTACTTTGAGTGGTTGAGAAACAAGTGCTCTGACCCCTAACTCTAATCCCAACCTTTAACCCCTAACCCCTTACCCAAACTCCTGACCCCTAACCCGAACCCCGACAGCATTGTATCCATCCGGCGGGGCTACATAACCACATCTTTTACGGTTTCATTCTGCCTGCCGACACCGTCGGCTGGTCAGTGCTAGTTGTTTTTCGTTCCTACCGCAGTCTACTCCTGCACCCCCAACCACCCTTCTTCTCTCCCTAACTAGTCCAGTGAATGGCGTCGGGCGGTTCACGAGGGTCTTTGTTACTTCCGATCACATCCTATCAGTTTTCTACTTGTCTATGACAAGATCGCCGACAAACGCCTGCTGTTCTTCCTCTAAGTCGCCGCCCATCGTACAACACCTCTCCCTCGTCTTTACCTCTCATCGCTAATTCAATCCATGACTTCCAGCGCAAACACGGTCCGGGAAAGCGTACGTTAAATTTGGCGGACATAGCCATCCACCTCATTATCACCTTCCCAAAGCTGCTTTCCTAATCCAATGAATGGGGACCAGTCCGCCTAAGTAAGTCCTGAAACTTCTACATGTGTGTTGCGTCCCTGTTACGGCGGACAACGCAGTCAGCGGTCGGTTTCTCGCAGATCGACAACAGAGTCTGATGGTGGGTTCCAGAGGAATTCAAGAGAAGGAAAAGAAGATGCGATCATTAGAACAAGAAGACGCGACTGTGGCGTTCGAATCGGAGGTCAGAAACTTGAGAGGTCGAAACGGTCACTTTGCCCGTCCGTAGGTTGGAGTGCCTTTTTGGTGATACGATTGGCCGGAGAGAAGCGCCCTCTTTGTGCACTTTTGGGAAACCGTAGAATCGTGCCAGGGCCGATCCTTGCGCTCTCACCACACGTCGGTTCGATCGTTGACATTACACCTGAGTTCTTCTTTGCCAACAGCGTCGCTTTGATCTCGCGTGCCAGCGTCTTTATGGCGTTGAATTCGCATGGCAGCTTACGAAATTTGTTCTCTAGTGCTGCCTTGCGTGTCGCTCTCTGTTCGCGGGTTCGTTCGGTCACCCGCTGCTGAAGCAGTTTTGTACTGTTCTCACCCATGCGTCAAGTAACGACTCGAACTCGGACCAACGAGCCATCATGGCCTTAATTACGACCCCTAGCGGTGGTCGCGAGAGCTGTTAATTTTAGTGCGCATGTGGCCCTACGGCAGCCACGTACTATAAATACTGTCTCTGCTAGCTTTATCTGCGACCGTCTTTGATGCTGGGTTCGAGTGAGAATCTGAAATGTCCGGCCAATAAACTTTTTGCTCCAGTGATTGAATCTTCTTCTTCTGAACTGCTTCCTGGAGCCCGCATGTTTGCTTCTATCCAGAGTAATTCTCAGTCCTTCGACGGATTTCTGATAGTCACCGACCAGGTCGCGTGAAACCGTCTGCTGTCCTTTTCCCATGTTGTCGCCAATACCGGCAAACAGTCGCCCTTCCTGCACTTCCTACTATTATTCTGGTTTGCTGTTACATGTCCCAGATTGTGAACCCTGTTGTTTCTGCTCACGCCTTGCCTTATTGTTTCAGAGGATCTCATTGTCTTAAGTTGGTTTTCTATTAGGTTCCCGTGTGGTCGTCTGAAGGGATCCGGGCAGGGATAAAGCGTATGACCGGGGTCAGAAGAAGGTATCCAGTGGTGCGTGTCTTACGGGAATGGTGGTAATAGGGGTTATATGGGTGAGGCTTCATAACGAGGAGTTGAGAAACCCTAGAAAGTAAATTGGGAGGTAATTCAAAAAACTACCATGAAGTTCTGACTGCGGCAAGATAGTAAGCGGAAGTTAACCTCGTACTTTAAAGAAAGAATACTATTAGTCAGTGATCGTCGGTCGTGTCGTAATGTTCTCCGTTGTGTGTACGGACGTGACGGCGATATGGGCGGTTGGAATATGCACAGGAAGACGCTTCATGCATCACCCAACTGCGGACAGGTGTTTGATTCTACTAAAGAATTACGTATGGTGTTGCAGAGCAATTAGTCTATAGACGTCCTCGTGGGTGGTTTAGTTCAAAGAATGTCATCCTGCCGGGATTAGAGCCGTCATTCAAACCAAAAACTCTACCGAACAACATCTATATTAATAAATATCGTAGGCAGTTCTCGCTATTAAATCTACTCCGGCCATCTTCTTTATCTTTGCCGGCGTCATCCATTTCCACATCCTCGCTCATTGCGACAGACGACCCCACTTCCCTCGCCAACCCTATCTACTGGCAGTATCTGGCGTACGAGGCTAAATGTCCCTAAATTTGCAAAACATCTCTAATCGTTCGGAAACCGGCCTAAATATATCGACCAAAACTCCTAAATAGTAATGAACGACTGTGGGTAAAATGAAAACGCAAAAAAATTTGGAAGTAGTATTACGTTGTTTAGAAGTATTATATTTCAGACAAGCGGCAATACCGAAGGCAGTAAAAGTATTGTCAGTTGAGTAAACTTAAGTTCCAGAGGCACATAGAGCGTGTTTATGTAAATATAACGGTACAGATAGAACGACGTTTGAGGATGGTCCTTTGTCGGAGTTTGTACTTAAATCTTCTTCAAGAATTAGTGTAATGAAAAGTATGACATTTAGCCACGGCTTCTGATCGGCTGTGATAGTCACGCTAATTCCCACTTCGTAAGGTTAACACCCCTGCTATCAGTCGGTCTTCGACTTGCCGCAGATAAAGCTTGCCACTTTTTTGCATGTATCACTCGCGTAATCGGGCTGTCCGATTCCTGTTCCGTTCGCGCTGGCACACCCACTGGCGGCCCCGTGCGCCTAGTAGCCTGCGGAAATATGTGGCGGCCCGCCGGGCTACGTATATCTCCTGAGTTCGTGCAGACACGCCTAACGGTTACCCGGTGTGGCTGTGAACTTGTCGGTACCCAAAACGACCCGTTTCGGTGCGCAGATCCGCTGGCTTCTCGCACACAGGTTTGGTGATGACCCATTACACTTATCAAACTTTCGGTACCCTTACTGTCATGTTCACGCGGCCAGCTTGTGCACTAACCTCCAATACGGCTAAAAAGTGCTTTATTCAGGGTGTGGAAACACACCTGTCCCTTGTATAGACACCTTTCAGTGGTATTTCTTCTACCTACTTGAGCGAATGCTCATCTATGTGGCGACGCGCGAATGCCTCTCTTCTGTGTGCGCTTGGTGTAGGCCTTACCTCCCACAATCCTCGACTATGATTGGCTTCTGCCTCGTTTCAACAGATTTTGTTCGTTCGGCGCTGTAGGAAAACACTGTGTGTTATACGTTCAAATCTTTGTATTTACAGGGAAGAGAATCGTTCACCGGGGTTCCACACTTAGCCAGTTGGACAGTAGGCGTCCCAACAGATATCATAAAATTAAATTTTCAGGTAAAACAGGGTTTTCCATTGCTTTTCTGAATGTACGTTGCAGTGAAAATTTTTCGCATTATTTTGCCGTCCCTCAAAGAAATTACTTTTCCTGTTCAAAAGCATCAGAGGGAATGCTAACTTACCACAGTTAATTGAATACGGCTTTGCTTTCCGGAATTGCCGCAATGTGTTGGAGCAGATGTCAAGGAAATTACATACCATATGATGGAGGAGTTAAGATTCAATATAGTAAATTATGTACATTGATTTGCCGGAATTTCTGATGTATATGCCAAACATGTGTTCACTATTTTGGGTATTGTCAGTTTATTACTTTGGAATACAGAACCCGTATGGTGTTTTCATTTGTTTGCAGAGCGCGTATCTAAAAACGGTTAGAATAAACAAACCTCAGAGGAATCCATCAGCGTTGCTAACGCATTAACAGCACAGTATCTAGCATTACGCGTGAACACTTGCTTCGATCGAGTAAACTTGTGTACAGTTATTTAAACATTTGTGAATAAAACTAAATTTTGCGCTTACTTCTTTCGGTTAAGAGAATTAGTAAGTAACAGTTTACCTCCCGCCGATTGGAGTCATTCTGCTCTTATCGTCTTCCTTTGTAAATATCACGTTATGCAGGTTTAACGCTGAGTCTTAACATACTTCTTGATTGTTCAGTAGTTGTTATTTTCAGGATCAGTCTCCTGGACATTTTAAGCCAACGGGTGGTGCCTACTTTTTCGCGACAGATCGCCCACGCTTCTTCTACGAAACTCTTTAATTGAGGACACTTTGATCGTTGCATTTTTTTCCATTTCCATAACTAAACGTCTCCTCCATTGAAAGATCCCACCCGTAATAGCCCCCCAGCACCTTCAT